CGTCTTGCTGCTACATCAAACTTGCCATTGTGCCAGGTTGGTTGGTGTTAGTGTTCTGTAGTCGATTAGTACTGTCGTCGTACCGGTCTCGTTATCATGCCAGTCTTGCTACCACGTTAGGTCAATCATCATGCTAATCAGCCATTGTGCTAGGCTCGTCACCCGGTCAAATGTCTCTTTCTTTTCTTCTTCTTCTCTCTTCTTCCTTCTCCCAACCCTCATCTCATCATTTCTTCTCTTTTCTCCTTTGAATGTGCACACCTTGTGCATATTCACCCAAAGACAAGGTGGGATCCTTCGGCCCACTTGTCTTGTAAAATTAACCATGTGTATATGATTGCAGAAACAGGAGAATATGATTGCAGAAACAGGAGAATACAGGCCAAGGGACGCGATTTCGAACTAGTTGTAGGACTGAGGGGACTTTCTTCGTGATCTAAGAGGGTGTCCACACGAGCCAGCCCGAGTAAATCCCGAACCCACCTTAAATTCCTATCTCATCGGTTGGTATACCTGCCCTTGCTCTTGTGCGAGGTTCCCGAGAGAGCGATCTCAAAGTCCCGGGTTCCCCTGAAACAAGAGATGCGTGTTGCCAGATAATTCAGATCCGGAGAGCGATATCGAAGTACCTCACTAGAGTCCTTTTCACCTATTCAGAATACATAGGAATAAAGGACTAGTAGACAATAGAAGCCAAAACCCTTCTAATTGGAATCAAGAATTTTAACCATTCTTGGGGAAGAATACAACAGATTGAAGGAGATGCCCAAAACATTATTAACTGGGGTTCTGGGATAAGTGATCCACCTTGGTATTGGAGACATATTTTTTATGAGATTGAACACTTATGCAGGGACTTGGAAGTCATTTGGAAGCACACCCGAAGGGCCGCAAACGCAGATGCACTCGCTAAAGAAGTTGCCCGACAACATACCTAACTAGATGCAGTTAGTCTGGGTGAAGGAGAAAAACTACAAGCCCCCACACAGTTTTCTTTTGTTTGTTTCGTAATAGTTTGTGTAAAGGGCCAATACTATAAGCCCTACTATGCTTTCCTTTGTCCGCTTTTATAACTGGGATTCTATGCTTTCCTTTTGTCCGCTTTTGTAATTGGGCATATCTATAAGCCCTTCTCAATGGTTGTGTCTGTCTCGTCTGGTCCTCCACTTAGGGACCATTACACAGCTGAGGTCCACGCGTGGTGGACCTCACTGTACCGATGTAACTCCTTTTATTTAATGTTAAGTCAACTTTTATCAAATAAAAAGCAAAAAAATTAAAAGAATAGACACCAATATGGAACAACTGTATATCTCTTTGATGCAGTAGTTATATTCCTTCTTCTACTACCCCAGTAGGGAGGATTCCATTATTTGGGAGCTCACGACTAATGGGTTCTTTTGAGTAAAGTCTTTGTATACTGATATTAGCAAAGACAAGATACTTAGCGTGCATAATCAGAACACATGGAATTGGAACATCAAGGCTTCCTTAAAGAGTGAGAACTTTCCTGTGGTTACCCGAACAAAACCGCAAACGAACAGCAGAACAACTGAGGAAGAGAGATAGAGTATTGGTGAACATATGTATTCGGTTCAAGCAAGATGTAGAAAGTAGTAACCATCTCTTTCTCTATTGCCTTCTTACAACTTCTCTATTGCCCTCTTGAGCTTAGTGAGGTTCATCAATGGATTATTATAGAAGAGGACTGTGTGAATGTGATCAGATGGTGCTTGAATCCTTGCAACTCTTTGGCAAATGACCTCCACCATGGATTTATCCTTCAGAACATGGAGGTCACTTTTTATACCCTTTTAATCAAAAAACTTTTGTAACCCTCCTTTTCCCTTTCCACCCATTAAAAAGGTTTTTTGGTTGAAATGGTATAAAAATATTTTTCAGGGTTATTTTTTATGAATAAAATATAGCTTGAAAGAAAAACGAAAGGAAAGTCTATCCTGAAATAATATAAAAAATTAGGGTTATATCCGAAATTTTCCCTTTTATTGTGCTGACAAGAAATGAAGTGACACATATTTGGTTCATACTTTTGAACATATAAAAATGTATTCCAAGTGAAAGATATTCACCGTAAAATGACTTTTTTTATAAAAAAAGAACTCACCACATGAAGTGGGGGAAAATTACAAAACATTATTTTCCCATCGAACCTAAATTAGACTATCTCAAAATTCAAGTTTTAAAGAGAAAGTATTGGAAATAGGTCAGGAGCTCATGAACGGCATCGGGCTCTCTGACCACAGCCTTGCAGGCATGTTGCCATTGTGAGGTTCCCGTTGATCTCATATGCCCTGGGAAAATACGCAGAAAGCCACCCGAAGACATAATGCACTAGGAAGCTCATGGTAAAATGCCCCGGGAGTAGAGAGAGAAAATATGTCGAATTTTAAGTTGTAAATAGAGAAGCTACCTCAAAATTTGAGAGAGAAACTATACCAAATTTCAAGTTTTAGAAAAAATATCTCAAATTTTTTGAAAAAGAAACTATCTTAAAATTCTTAGAAAAATAAACTATTTCAAAAAATTTACAGAGAGAAGCTATCTCAAATTTCAAAGTTTTAGATAGAGATATCATCTTAAAATTTTTAGAGAGAGTAAAACTAACTCAACTCTCAAAATTCTAAATAGAGAAACTCTCAAAAATTTTAGAGAGATAAACTAATGTTCAATTTTAAATTTTAGAAAGAGAAACTATCTCAAAATTTTTAGAGGGAGACACTACGTAAAATTTCAAGTTTTAGAAAGAGAAACTATCTCAAAAATTTTAGAGTTGGAAAACTATCTTAAATGTTCCAGAGAAAGTAGCAAATTTGAGAGAGAGAAATAAATTCATAATTTTTAGAGAGAGAAATTATATCAAAATTTAAGTTTTAGAGAGAAATGTTATCTCAAAATTTTAGAGATAAATTGTTATAAATTCTTTAAAAGGGAAACTATCACAAAAAATTTATAGAGAGAAGCTATCTTAAATTTCAAAATTTTATAGAAAATACAATATCAAAATTTTTAGATAGAGAAACTATCTTAAATATTCAATTTTAGATAGATAAAATATCTTAAAATTCGGATAAAGCTTTCAAATATTAGAGAAGGAAACCATCTCAAAATTTTTAGAGAGAAACTATCTTAAAAGTTTTAGAGACAAAAACTATATCAGAGTTTTTAAAGGTAGAGGCTATCTCAAATTAAAAAATTTCTTGTAGAAGGCTTTCAAATATTAGAGAAAGAAACCATCTCAAAATTTTTAGAGAGAAACTATCTTAAAAGTTTTAGAGACAAAAACTATATCAAAGTTTTTAATGGGAGAAGCTATCTCAAATTTAAAATTTCTTAAAAGAGAAAATATCTCATAATTTTTAGAGAGAGAAACTATATTAAATTTCAAGTTTTAGAGAGAAATTATCTAAAAATAGAGAGAAACTATATTAAATTTCAAGTTTTAGAGAGAAATTATCTCAAATTTTTAGAATGAGAAACTAAGTTGGATTTTAAGAGAGAAATTATCTCAAGGTGTTCAGAGAGAAGCTACTCAAATTTTAAATTTTTAGAGGGAAAAACTATTTCAAAATTTTAGAAAGAAAAACTATCTCAAATTTGTTTCGAAAAGAAAAATTATCTCAAACCTTTTAGAGGGAGAAACTATAATAAATTACAAGTTTTAGAGAGAAACTATATCAAAATTTGAGTTTTAGAAAGTGAAATTATTTCATAGTATTTAGAAGAAAAAACGATATCAAATTTCAAATTTTAGGGAAACTGTCTCAAAATTTGCAAAGAGAAACTACATCAAATTTCAAATTTTAGAGAGAAAAACTATCCCAAAACTCTTAGGGAAAAACTCTTAAAATTTTATAGAGAGAAACTATCACAAAAATTTTAAAGAAATATGCTATCTCAAAATTTAATTTTAAAAAGCTACTTTGGCGTAAATGCAAACATAAATTTTATTGGAATCAATAGTATAATTTAAAAAGTACTTGGAGGGAGCGTATGCTTAGGCCATATAGTCCAAAGGGTATCTAGGCGGTCAAGGGGTCCAGGCCGCCAACGCGGTCGAGGGGTCCAGGCCATGTTTCAAAAAGCAGATATCCATATAGATAATTCAGTGTTTCAAAAAGTGCTAGGCGGCATCTAGACGGTCTAGGTCCAGGCACCTAGGCGGTCGGGGGTCCAGGCCGTGTTTCAAAAAGCGCTAGGTGGCACCTAGGTGGTCGGGGGTCCAGGCCGTCCAGCTCCCAGACAGGCCCCTAGAACCTGGGTGGCCTAGTAGATTTTTTTTTTTTGGGTTTTCTCTCTAAAATTGCCTCTAATGTGTTTTAAATTTCAAATGAACCTAAAAGTGACCCAAAAATCCCCTTGGGTAATCCGTCCAGCCTATTGGCCCGCCTAGACGCTGGCCGATCCGCTTTTTAAAACTATTATATATATGCTTCCTTGTTTTTTTTATCATGTTATGTTCTCTCTCTCACACTGGGCCTCTTTCTAAATACGTTTTACTAAATATAGTAAAAACACAAGCTTGAGCAATTCTTTCCCTATAGATTGTTAGTATATGTAAAATTGTGTTTTTTTTGTAAAACTTTTCCTGTCAAACTATTTCACGCAAACGAAACGACCCTTAAGATTTTCCCAGCATAAGAACTACATTTCCAAGCAGAACTCAACTTTCAATTATATAGCTTAGGCCTCAAACTTTTTTCTAGTTCATACATATTGTCATGGTAATAAATGACTATGCAATTTAATGTAATATAATCAAGAGGTTGCACTGTAATGGAGAGAAGGGACAATTGTAGGGGTTCATATTATATGGAGCTTAAATAAATTCGCCTAGCATCTGATGAGCCCATATGGTGGTGTGTAGTCCTGATATAGTTACCCTGTTCCCTTAAGTTCTTCTAACGAATTACTATTAATGGAATAATCAAATCAAATATATGGCCAATTGTTTACAGGACGAGCATTTAAATACTTTGCGATTTGGCAAAAAGATAAGATCCTGTAGCATGGAATTGGAACCGCAGAGAATCACTCTGATTGTCAACAATTCAATATTGAGAAATCAAACAATCTAGAAAATGCAGTTCTTAATAAAATGCTTACTACTATGTACATTGCATCCCCATCAAAGAAAAGTCGATCTATTTTCATGTTTCTTGCTCCATATATTCATTCATATAATAATCTCCCTAGAGCATATATGTCTTCTCAGCAAATTACTTTTCTACGGCGACAACCCACCCGAAGTTGTCCTCCATGAGTCCCCACTGGATACCCGTGAGTGCAGAATATAGTTGCTGAGATACCTTACCAACTCCGCCATTTCCATATTGCATCCTGCAAATGATACAAATTGCATTAAGGTCAAATTTTCATTGAATTGCCAGCATCGCGACAATGAGACCGTGAGCCTTGAAAGAAACAAGTTTGACAGACATTATAGATGTTCCACTCATAAGCCATATTATGTAGGGCCCTATATTCCTCATATATACTACTGGAGTGGCAAGGGGAACATATGGATGCAGTGCAAATGGACTGGGACTCAGGAATGCATGGTAGGATTTTGGGGAATTCGCTATATTAGATATCATTTTAAATGCATTAGCTTTACAGTTGGTCAGACATAGCTAAGAGTCTTGGAAACCTAAACATTAGAGTCTTGTGATTGGTCCATGGTGAGACGTGCCCTAAATTCCGCAAAAAGCAAGTGTTGTACAGATTGAGTTAGGTAGTGTCCTAGGTTGCCTTGAGGATGTTCTTAGTCCTAATAAAATAACAATATAATGTGGAAATTCAACTATGAAGTCCTTCTGCAACCTTCCCAAATCCTCAATAAGAGCTAAGAGGTAATTTACACTAGCTAAACTAAACCCTAACCAATCCTGTCAGTCATTTGTTGTTATATTTTTCTTCTGTCCTCTTCTATCCATGTATATGCCTCAGTTTGCATGACTACTCCAGTAATGAGTGACAGCTCAACTCCCAAAAAAGTGAAGGTATGGGATTTCTTTCAAAATTTGTCCATGAATGATCCACATCTTTTTCTTCCCAAATTTGTTTGAGGTTTCATGGATCGCACTTGAGAGGGGAAAAGCTGAAGAGGGATTGGGCTATGAGAATTAATGCCCATGAAATGTTTTGAAATGTTTTGGTGTTTTTGTGTGGAGGGAGGGTGGGGTGGGGAGGGGGGTATGACATGATTTTGGAAGGTGCTTAAATGGATTGCTTGAGAGTTGGGACTAAAGAGAACATAGTAAGAAATTTATAGATCTTTTGGAAGCATAATCTCCAATAATTATTGGGGTTTAGCTCTATCAACCCAATGAATGGAAGCTAATGATTATAAGAGCCAACACAAGAGCCAGGCAAGTGCCTTGTGTACCGAGCCACCAAAAGGCAGGCCAAAGCTTACAGTGAACACATATCCTACATTTTTCAGGATGGATCCTATCAGGACTCTTTTAAAACCTTTCATAGGATTTGTAGACATTGGAAATTCTTCGGGGGGTATAAACTAGAGAGTTCTGTTGATAAGTTTCGCGTTGTCTCTTGTTTCTACTTGGCCCCACTACAGTGAAATTGACCACAACAGACTAATGTAACCAAAAGATATACCAGAGGTCACTATCACCAAGTTTCAAGTTCTCAATAGTTGTTCTTCCTTTGAAAACACAAAACTAATTACACGATAAGGGGCACACCATTTGCAGGAACAATTACAAAGGAACTACACCAGAAGTGCTCTGGAAGAAAACTTTTACAAGAGTACGACGGTACACACTAGCAATTAAAAGGTATGCATCAAAGAACACATCAAAAATAAATAAAAAAATGAAAAACCTGGCGTTTGAAGATATAGTTGCTTACTTTTTCCTCTCATATGTGATACTTCCAACTGGAGACACAACCACTGCACATCCTGTGCAGAAAACCTCATCGGCTTCAAACAACTCCTCCACTGGTATAGGCCGCTCCTCAACCTGCATAATGGGGCAAGTGATTCAACCATCATCAAGAAACCATAATGGTACAACATCCATGATGTCAGAAAATCACCACAGATTCCATAAAAACAAATGCATCTCCTAAAAACGCAAGCATCCAACATCCACAGAAGCAATAAGATTCATATTTTGCTGATGATGGTTGAGGAGTGGCCTATACCACTTCCATAATGGGGCAAGTGGTTCAACCATCATCAGCAAACCATATTGGTTCAACATTCGTGATGTCGGAAAATCACTACAGGTTCCTAAAACACAAATTTATCTCCTGAAAACACAAGCATCCAACATCCACAGAAGCGATAAGATTCATATTTTGATCCGGAAAGTAATTTTGCTATCATTTTTTCCCTTTATCTATCACCTACATGAGACAAACACCAAAGCCTAAAAACTGAGAAGAGCTCCATAGCACTAGAATTGTGCACTCAAATAATCTAAGGATTTATATTTAAGAGGAAAAATAATTGAAAGATTATAAATTCTAGATGTTAAAACCCAAATGTCATGGCATATGACATGAAATTCAGAACTTTTAATATCTACAACACCAAATAATTTTCTTCCTATAATCACGCCTTCAATATAAAAGGATGTGGAGAAGCCATCCAAGAACATTGAAATATTTCTTCAGTACCAGAAAGAAACATATGAGATAGCATAAATAGCCTTGTTGCAACTCAGTCATCACAAAAGTTATTAATATCAAAGCTTTTGCCTTCCATACTTCCCAAATAGCATCCATCCATGACAAAATCACAATTGTAAAATGATGTACAAACTTTAGTACTTAGTTAAATGCAATTCATTTCACATTGAGGTAACTAGCTGCAAGTTGAGTACCTTGTATCCTTCATTTTGAGCAACATCGATAATACTCAACCGTGTAATTCCTGGCAAAATGGTCCCTTTTATTGGCGGAGTTAAAATTGTTTTCCCCTATTCAGCGAAGATGGACAAAGAAACATGTAAGGAGCACAGGCAGAGCATAAATAAGTTATCTACCATAATCTTGGTTAAAAATGATAAATAGCATGCATCAATGACATACAAGTAACACGCAAAATAATCCCGAAAAAAACCCATCATTTGTAAGTAAATATTTGATAGGGATCATTTACTAGAAGAACGTATTGGCACAATTAGATCAGATTCTAACACATAGTTGTTGGAAGTGGGAGCAGGAGCAAAGAATTTACCACATAGTTGCCACATGCTAGAACCTCCCTAGCCAGAGAGCTCTTTTCAAACAATTATTTAATTGATAAAACAAAAAGAAATTACAAATAAGAAATTTTATTAAGAATTTAGAATATCCAACAATTCCCACATATAAAAGTAAAGAATGGGAAAAATTTATTTAAGGAATAGGCCAGGGGCCTGGGTGGTTAGTGTGCTTGAGCAACAAAATGACATTTGGGGTTCTATTCTTACCTGCTATATAAACCCATCAAAACATATTTATGAATAAACTAATTGTTTCTAATTCATATATTTTTATATTCCTTTGAGTTGTAGTTTATGTACCAATAATATTATGATGATGCACATCGGGATAACAAATAACACTACAAGGGCGTTGATTTCTTATTGATAAAAAAAATGCTTTATTTACCATTTCAAGCTCTAAAACCTTAACAAGCATATCAAGCTACTTTATTTAGAATTTTACACATCACAACCTCCAAAAGTATTAGAGAGTTAGAGACAATATGATTGCAATTAAGATACAAATAAATCATCGGTTCAGCCTGCTCCTTCGACCGGCTAGAGGTGATCCCCAAAAAGTGGGGACTGAGCTAACAAATTTAAAATTTGCAAGCCCATTGAGATACCTATTCTAAAGCGTCTAAGGGAGATCCCATATCAGGATCTACATGAATTGGGAGATCCCAGTAACTATGGTCTAGCATAACATTTCGATCACGAGTGATCTAAGAAGATGATCGAAAAGCCGTCCGTCCAACCGCCTAAGCGGACTTTTGGATAAAACGCCTAGGCAGTTATAAAGTGGACACTATTAAGCGGCCAGAACTAGGCACCCGCCTAGGCACCCAAGATGCGTGACTAGGCGGTTAAAAGGACAGGAAAAGGCATCTGCCTAGGCATTTTATCCTTTTCCAAAAAAAGAAAAAGAAATATACTCAATTTGAGTATTATTACCATCTATGTGTAGTCTTTTCAGACTTAAAAGATTTTTGTGTAGTCTATATTGATGATATTCTAGTATTTTCTAAATCACTAGAAGATCATAAAAAACACTGAAAATAGTTAGTGATAAATTCCTAGACTGGAATTATCCTAAGTCCTAAAAAGATTGAAGTAGAAAAAACTTCAATTCAATTTCTTGGAATAATCTTGGACAACCAAGGGATAAGATTACAAGAACATATTATTACAATCTTGGACCAGCAAGGGATAAGATTACAAGAACATATTATTTCAAAAATAAAAAAATTTCCTGGCAAACTTGTAGATAAAAAACATCTACAGAGTTTTTAGGAATCCTTAATTATGGGCGAAACTTTATTCCAAACCTCTCCAAAAAGGAACAACCTTTATTGAAAAAACTCAAGAAAAATAAAGAATTTATTTGGGAAAATAAGGACTCCAAAGCAGTCATAAGTACAATAATAATATTGCTAATGATATTTATATATTTTTTAATTTTTAATATTATACATCTAACAATAATATCATAATCAAAATCATTAAACATAATAAATTTATTTAGTATTAATAATAATATTGGATAGAGGGGAAGGAGAGAGAATACAATGATAGAGAGTAAACATTCATGTAGGAGAGATATAGATGAGAGAGAATCCATTAAGAAGAGAGAATTCACAGAGAGAGATTTTTTTTTTTAAACTTTCAAAGAAAGAAAATATATTGAGAAAAAGAGATGGTGTATTTTTTTTTTTTTTAGGGGGGGGAGAGAGGGGGGAGAGTAAATATTAAAGATAAGAGAGAATCTATTAAGAGGAAAGAGAGAGTGAATATGGTCATGAATATGGGAGAGTAATAAATATGTAAGTGAAAGTTAAAATTGGAATAAATAAAGTCTAAAGGATTAAAATGAAAAAAGAAAAAAAGATACTTGGCATGAGAATAAGATGGTCCTCCTCTCACTTTATATATAATAATAGAATGATAGACAGATAGATAGATATAAATCACATAGAATGCATTAAATCCTTGTATCTGTGAACCAGAACTCAACACTGGCCATAGAAAATCAGGCTATGACCAGCACAGCCCGAAAAAAAATCAGATGGCAGTAGTAACGCAACTCCATCACTACATTCAACTGAACACATACCATCAACATGTCCTAAGAAATATTAACGTCAAGCACTGATTTCCATTCAAGTGTAAACATGATAAGAATTGCACCGATGCAAACTTAAAGGAGTAGAAACTAGAATCATCAAAACTTTCCAACAGGTTGCAGGGAAAATTTTATTTTTACTCAAAAAAAGCGCACAAATGAGGATAAATAAAACAAACTGGTGCCAATCGAAAAGCAATATCACACACATGTACTCATGCATGCATGTCATGCATGCACTCAGGTGCACGAGCACACTCATAGGAAACATGCATTAAAAGATGCAAATGTAAATAGTGTTGGGATTATGTGGCCATAAAAGGCCTTCTTATAACTAATATCCTAATATAGTGGAACATAAACTCAATGGGAGTATGGTCCTTAATGGACCATACTAGGTAAATGTTATTTACCGATACTAAGACTTGACATGACGTGCTAAGTCAGTCGAGTTGGAATGCCCATGGTACCTGAGCATGGAATTAAACCGATGAGGGATTTGTGGGTAGGTCATCCCTTGATGAGGTCTGAGTTACCCGAATGAGTGAGTCAAGGGACTGTGTGACCCTTTTGTGCGATGGTTGGCCTTTATAGAAAAGGGTCAAAGCCTCATCACTTAACCATCACACGACATGTGCATATGCTAGCCATATCGAGAAATCGAACCATCTTTCAGGGTGAAGCGTATACATGTGCAAAAGATTATCTCTATGCACCATAGAGTTGTGGTTGCCTCAGGTCTAGGTGACATTAATTCGTCTCTAGGGGAGAACCAATAGTCCATAGATTGAGATTGCGTCTCCTTACCTATTGGCTGACTTTGGTGGCCCAATCATGAACCCCTGCGGTGGTTTGTGGGTCATGAAAACTGCTGGGTCAGTTTGAGAAAGCAAATGTGGATAATAGTCCATAGTAGAAGGTGGGGTTCTCAACGATCTTATAATTTATAAACCTTGTTAGATCCGATTCCCATCAAAATTATTTCGTTTTAATTATTTTTTATGATATATGATTTTTAGATTGATTATTTGAATTTTTGTGAATCTCTGGATATTTTATTTTTACAAATTAGATTTATAAATCTACAGATAATCATTTTTTAGTATGTAAATATTAAAAAAAATAAAGTTTATTTCCATATTTCTAAAAATTAAAATATGAATTTTATAATTCACTAATCATATGGGGGCCCCACCATGGAACATGGACCCACCATTAATTAAATCACATGGGGGATTGAGTGGAGCCCACATGTGGCCACCTAAGGGTGGTACGCCCCACTCAATAAGAAACACCCGTCTTACTGTAAAAATTGCACATGACTTGATTGAAGTGGGGACAACATGAAAACCACCAAGGGTGGCATGCCCCACTCAAGGCAACCCTTACAAAAAGTTGGCCAAGCCAACATGGCTAGCAATTCAAGATGAAATATTTTGGTATGATTTGAAATTTAAGGAAGATTGATTTCAATCAAAATATTGTGTAAGTAGGTTATGGAAAAATATAGTAAAATTGATAATATTTTTCATATTATAATATTTGATGGGATTTAGGAAGCTGGAGGATAAAGTTCTAGCAATTTCTTTTTAATCATGCTGGTTGATGCAAGAAACGTATGGCTCATATTTCTCACTCAATAAGTGATGCAGAGAAAAAAAAAATTTAAATTTTTTATTATTATTAGGATTTTTAAGTATATCTCTAACTTAATAATAGGAGGTACGTAGGGATAATTAGGTGGGAGTTTATCTTGTACGTGAATGAATTGATATTTATCAATTGGGTGGTTAGTTTAAGAGTATAAATAGGATAAAGTTAGTACTAGGGGGTTTATCTTTTCAACAATGGGTAAAACGTGGGTGGCACGTGAATTTAAGAGAGAGAAGATAGGGGTGAGAGAAAATAGGTTAAGGGAGATAAAATAGGAAAGTCAGTTGTTTATTTTCTTTTCTTTTTCTTACTCTATTTAAAGAGACATTTCCCTTCATTGTAAAGAGGTGAATGAGTTAATAAAATTTGGTCTCGTGAAGAGATTATTTTGGGGTGGATTCCTTTGCAAACCTTGAGAGAGGGTATATTCTCTCAAATCTTTTCTTTTTTTATTGTTATTATTTTGGTTTATTTCTCCCTACATCAATTGGTATCAGAGCAAGTTAGGTCTAGAATTTACAATGCCACTAAAAGCCAATCAAGCTAATCCTGCCCTGGCTATGGAAAATCATTGGGGAGAAATTTTGACTAAAGCCCTAGAGGATTTTTGAACTGAAGTACGTGAGATGAATCAAGAGATGAATCAGAGAATGCAACGCCTAGAGGATTTTCAAACTGAAGTACGTGAGATGAATCAGGAGATGAATCAGAGGATGCAACAGTTGGATCAGAGATTGCAGCGGTTGGAGAATAACCTTCCTCGCGAAGAAGGTACTAGCAACAACATTAATCTTGCATCAGAAATTCCACGACAAACCCAGAATGTTGATTTCACGTGTACTGAAGAAATTTACAGGCCAAATCCGCATCCTATAAAGCGACCACGAGATTTTAGTATTAAAATCGATCTCCCAAAATTTCATGGTCAAGGGTATTCATCAATAGAATATGGTGC